GGTGTTGTCTTATGAATTTGCATATGGTTCGCTTTGAAGCATATTACAAACACCACATATAAACATATATAAACGACATTAAAAACTTGATTTTTTTTCACCGCAGTGGTACTTATAATTGACATTTATATTTATTTTTCTATCTATATTAGCAGTATGTGTCTACACTAAATTGTTTTTTTCCTGATATCAAGTACATAATAATCAGACACGATTTAACTCATTCATGAATGTTAATTCATTCATATATTTCACACATTGCTTATTATGGCCCTGTTTACACCTACTTTAGTCGATCGGATCACAAGTAGTCGATAAAGACACATGCCAGTTTACACCTGGTGTTTAATCCGTCTCTTTTGTCCACTTTCAACCACTTCTGTCCTGATTTTTTTGAGGAGAGGGTCTACATGTCTGTAAATGTATGGGCTTTTTTCGGACAAAAAAGGCTTGCGAATGGGTGGAAGTGTTCGAAAGTGGACAAGCTAAAAACGTTTTAGACCTGTATTTAGTCCCGTCCACATCGACCACAATGCATCTTAATACCAGGTGTAAAGTTTAAACCGGGTGGAGACTGAGTTTAGTTTTTATCGTCACACTTTTTATTTCAATTACTTAGTTTCTATATAGAGACAAAAACTAAAGTCTTGACTACAATTGAACATTTAACCATTATTGACCAGGAAAAGTACACTTCATTAAACAAGTTTAACCCAATGGCGGGGCATTTTGTCACAGTATAGTAAGTTGTTATACTATATGACCATTCCCCAAGAAACAGTACTGGTCCTCATGGCATCATTGAATGAGTAGTAAACTAGGATGCAATATCCATTTTTACACTCTAAACTAGGTATCAATTTTATTGAAATGTTTTTCAGCCTCATAATGAACTTCAGATCTAGGCTGAAGAAGATCCCTGGGTGTTTTATCCCCTTTGGGACGGCTAAAGTTAAACTGTGCTGCCGTGTATAGAGGCCATATTTTGGATCAGCATCAGGCCTACTTCATCTAATGTGAATCTTGGGAAAGATAATGTTAAATGTAACTGCGGGTGTTTATAAAGTACTGAAGCGGGTCACTAGTTCTCATCTTGATGTATTCAATAATCTTTGTTCTTTAGAGGTCCCTATTGCAAAAGTAGCTTAAGGGTCGAAGGCAATTATAAAAACTAGGACGGTGAAGTAGCAACCCTGATTTCTGTTAATATACAAAGTTAAGAAGTGGCACGTAACCCTGCCCAAGTCCTTTGTGGTGTCCACAATTACATTACATAGTTCAAGTGAAGCCAATTTGACCCACGAATGTGTAAGTGGGATAAACGCACATGGAATCCAATATTCTCCAATCAGATTAGTTTCAGACCTCATTCATTCGTGGAAATAAATCTGATATGAATCGGATACGTGCATTTGCGTCTGCCATGTAAGCGGACAGATCAGATATTCCCTCCAATGCGAGTCATACGCCATTGAGAAAGCGACGGCGGCAAATGACTTCAACTACGATCACATGACTCTTTTTAATGGCGCAATGGAGGAAAAAGGCTCAACCTGATCTTTAAAGCTTCTATTATCATTTCATCGGGGTCCATTGCAAATCACGCCGTTTTTACTTCCTTTTCGGCCATACTCCTCCAGGTTTTGCCAAGTGTATAGTGTTAATGCAGATATCAGATACAAGTCACTTTTAAAAGATGTAAACTCGTCGTTAGAAACAAAAAACAAAAAACAAAACAAAGTGTGTGTGTGTTCTGAAAAAAGTCTCACCAAGACAGCATGCATTTGATCAAAATACAGTAAAAACAGTAGGCTATACAATTTAAAATGACCGTTTTCTATTTGAATATATTTTAAAATGTAATTTATTCCAGTGATGCAAAGCTGATTTTTCAGAATCATTACTTCAGTCTTCAGTGTCACATGATCCTTCAGAAATCACTCTAATATCTAAACATTTATTATTATTCATGTTGAAAACAGTTGTGCTGCTTCATATTTCTGTGGAAACCATGATGTATTTTTTCAAAATTCTTCAAAAGTTCAAAAGAACAGCATTTGTTTGAAAATGATTCTTTTGTCTTAACTGTCACTTTTAAATGACATGGAATCACTTTTGATCAAGACAGAAAATATAGAGAACATCTGATTAACTACTTATTTGCATGCATTATTGTGAAACATTACCAGAAGATTCAGTTAGAAGGGAGCCAGAACAAAAAGCTGTTCCACAGAAGCTTCTGGACTCCTTCCATTCGCTACAAAATATGATTAAAAAAAAGGAGAAGACAAAATGATCCGATGGATCTATATCCTGCCAGGGCTAGAACCAAATACAACCCATCCATTCAATCTGACACCAACAGACACAACACATGCTCGTCCAATCAAACCGCCTCATTATGCTTTTCCCAATATAACCTTTCATGTAGTGTGTAATAGCTTTATGTGAATGTAAAAGGTCTGCAAACTATCAAAGTGCACAATAAATGGAGGAGTTATTGTCTATTAAAGAATTACTGAACATGTCTGCAAAAATGTGAACTCGTATGAACAGCCCCGTTTGTAAACACATCATTCAGGCTAATTTAAGATGATCAATAGACTCAAAAGAACATTCATATGATTTTAATGACAACTTCTCATCTGTTTTGCTGAAGAATACTAATAATATAGCACAGGCGTTGGAGTGGACTGAAGATTGAAGAGGCCAGGACATTTTAAAACTTCTTGTGTTTAAGACAGAAAGTCAAATTTGTTTGGAATATCAACGTGACATCATGACTTTTGCATAAACACACACGCCACTTTCAAGTCAAGTGGCGTGTTATCTATACACATTTTGAGCTATCCGCGTGTTGTACACGCCATTAAATGCCCGTGCGAAATGAAGCAAAATGTAGATCTACATCTGGGGAGTGATATTTTTTTTCCTAGGATGGTAGGGGAAGACTCATAAATGGTATTAACCCCAGTGACGGGTAGGTTTAGGGACGGGGTTGGGGTAGGTCATATATTTATATATACAGTAATGTAACGTTAAGTCAACGGCGTTCATAAACACGCTGAAAAGCGATTAAAGCACACCAAAAATGGAAATACATATGCCATTTCATGAGATCAGTCTGGGAATAATCACAGCGAGTGAATGATGAAGGAATCTTCATTTTTGTACAATCGATACCTTTGCCATCTAAACATGTTCATAAATGTTTGTGAGCAGCGATGAAGCACAGAAGCATCAGTCTTTCTCTTCCATGCCCTCACTCTTTTTAACTCGCGTCTCCTGAGGAAGAATCGCTGGCCTATCTCTGCTGCAGCGCAGTACAGAACAGCTCCTCGACCCACTTTGTTAAGACTAAAATTACAACACGGGACGGGGAACTGGTCCAGGACAACACACACACACATAGAGTTGTGCATCTGCACTCTCAGAGATCCAGAAAGACAAATTCACAGTCGTCGGTTGACCTCTTTATCTCAAAAATGTACGAGCAACAAAACTGAAGGCTAAAATCAATAGGGGACTTAGAAACATGCACATGACCACGGTGCAATTTACCCAGCGCATGCAGAGGCAATAAAACCACATCCTGGTATCCAGAACATCAACTCACCCCAGTCCAGGTCACACACCGTTTACCATTTCCAGGACAGATTTATAGCCTTAAAACTTCCATTTTATGAGTGTGCTCAGTGAGTGTGTAGGGCAAACATGTCTCCAGGTCACATTTGACCGCAAAATGAAGTAAATGAAGCCCATTTTTTGGATCATTAAGATTGTTTTGCATCTGAACATTTTTTTTAATAAGCACATTTCCATATAAGTAGTTTCTGATTCCAGAAACATAAGATTTTTTTTTCTTTTTATCATTTTACTTTTAAAAGTATCAAAAGTTTACTTATTTTAATGTATTTAGTTTTTTTTAATTAAAATAAAAAGTTACAGATCTTCTGTATTTTTTGTAATTTTTTTGTAATTTCCATTATTCTGATAAGATTTTTTTTATTCATTTTAATTTGTTTTTTGTATCATCATATAATGTTTTTGTGCTTTTTTATTGATTTAAATGGCATAAATGATTCTTCTAAAATGTAATTGGCTTGTAATCAGCCTTGTTGGCAGAGGCTATTTACACTAACTCCGCCCACTGACGTCTGTTTGGGCCAGACAAAATTACAGAAGACACCAGATTGTGAACAGTAGAGATAGTGTAGAGGTAATGTCGCTTGGCAGAAAGTTTTGATGCAAATCGTTTCGATTTCAAATCCGCCTTTTGCCGAACTCGCTCTACTACTTTTTCCCCATCACATATCAGATCGGAAAACAAGAATATTTTTGGAAAGTGGAAATAAAGTTTCTAACAAGTGTTTAATAATATAGTATTTATCAGGTAGGGTTAGATAGAGATGGCTTTATTGTCCCAATAAGTGGCATCCATTTATTGATTTCAATAAATATAAATATTATTGCATACCATTTAATGTACAACAACACTGGGGAGCCAATAGTACTAAAACTGGCACTATTTTGTGAGTATAAATAGTAATAACTTTACACGTATTGCAAAGAAAACACTGCTATTTTTTTTTTTTTTTTTTACAAAAATAGAATCTTTTGCTATTTTCACTTAGTCACTGTCCTAATTAAATACATAATTTCTTTCACATCACAGCAGTAAATATTTTTCATTAACGTCATGAAAGCAAGAAAACTAATGTCACAATGCATTAAAAAAAATTAAATAGACAAAAAATATGCTTTTAAGTAAAACCTAATTTCTTATTTTTTCCCTCTGACTTTGGCTTGAAAAATAACCCAGGCATGTTGTTGACAGGTTCATAATAATAATAAATAAAAATAATTTCCAAAAGTCTCCATCACACAAACTAACTCTTTAAAGTCACTATAAACAGATTTATCAGGATAAAGTAGCTCAGAAGCGTCTTTGCTACCAGTCAGCATCTGTGTGTGTGTGTGTGTGTGTGTGAAAGTCATACCATCTCAACCTGCCGAGGGTCCAGCTGAGTCGGTTCTGTTGCTTGGACGGCGAACTGGATTTTCCTTCTTTCTTTGTGTTCCACGGGGCCCTCTGAGGGACTCGAGGGATCCATGATCTGCTTTCGTCCTCTGTCAGTCTCACAAATATCCCTGGAATCTACCTATGCCTGTCTCAACATACATATGCACACACACACGTGGCGTCCTCCAGACAGCTTTCTTCAATGCTCGCGGTGTTGTCTCCTCTCTCCTTGAGTGATAGTACCCTTCTCTGATTTGTCTCTCTGCTGAGCCTCTCAGATATGCGTTTTTTTGCTTTCTCTTATCAGTGACCTCTGGTTTTCTCCCTCTCAAAGTGTTTGGAGTCGGAGTGGGCGTCCTTATATGAGCTGTGGGGAGGGAGAGAGAGAGAGAGGCGGAGCTCAGACAGAGGATGGTACACTTGCGTGTTTTAGGGGGCGTGCTGACTTGATTTCTAATCAGAAAAAAAAAGATAATCTCATCCAGCTGGCTGAGCCTCTTTTGGCCTCTATTTGTGAATAGGAGATTAATAGAGAGAAAGAGAAATATAGAGAGAGGGCAATAATTCATGCCAGCTATTAATTTCAATGCATACTTCAGTTTTACAAATATGAATAGTTGTGTTGATGTTAAAAATAATCAGGAGTGACACTCATTTGAAGCTTAGTAAAACGTCAAACACAACTACAGTGACCCCGGCTTAAAGGGACAGGTCACCCAAAAATAAAAATCCTGTTATTATTTACTCACCCTCAGGTCGTTCCAAACCTGTAAGACTTTCTCTCTTTCTTCAAGAAGATTAATTGGTTTGATAATTTTATCTAATATGATACCAATCAGATTTTTTTTTTAAATGTAGCTGATGTGTCTAAATATTTTGGGGCCACGGTGTGTATAAAATATATCTAAAACACAATATAAATAATATTTGGCCTGTTGTGAGTATAAATATTGGTTCTAAGATATTGCTGTAAAAATATAAAATATACAATAGCACACTGCTAGCAGTTTAAGTCAAAGATCAGGGGACATTCAGTGTTATTGTTAACTAAAACAGTAAAAAAAAATGTATTGCTAACTGAAATAAAATATAAATATTAAAACAGCAAAAAAATGTATTGTTGAAATAAAATATAAATTTTAAGTAAGAAATCTTAAGCTTAAAAAATTTAATTAATAAGCTTAACTTGTAACATTTCTAAAAACAAACTAAAAAAACTACAAAAAAAAGCAAAAAACTTTAAAGTTAAAATCAACTGAAATTCAAAATATAAATAAATACTATAATAGTCTATAAATAGGGCACAGGGCATCCAGCGTCAGAAGCAACACTTGAATGATTTGTAATGTAGATGCGCACCTTGAGGAAACGCTGTTGAAAATGGATTGGACCGAGCAGCACGACACACTGGTAGCCAATCAGCAGCAAGGGGCGTGTCCAGTCATGATGGGGGAGGAGAGAGAGTGAGCAAGAGGGAGATTTAAAGACTGTAGAAAGAGAGATAGCTGAGAGACATTACAAAAGGTCAGAGGAATATCACTGGAAAAAGAAGGGTAATGATCAGGTAGTGGAAACGCGTCAACTTTATTCCCTCTACTCAGCCGCTATAGTAATGTTAGCTATAGTAACAGGACAGTTTTGAATGTCATTGTTTGTCTGGAGTTTCTGATGACTAACAACAAACTTTTGCTTGAATATAGGCTACTCTTGTGTGCTTTGTTTTGTTTTTTTCCTTGTGGTTCATCAACTTCTTCACTTTATTTTTCACAAAGCATTATTTTGATATGATAAAGACATCCTCTCTTGCATTGTGTGTTTGTGTATTTAGGGGGGCGGAGCAATGAAGGGAGGGGTGTGTTTGTTTGGGTTGGTTTCAAATATCCACAGTGTAATCGCTTACTGCACCTGTCTTTTAACAAGTATAACCAACTAGCGGTTAGCCATCTTAATAAAAAGTTAAAAGTTGAATTTGACAAATCGACTTAGAAGAAAATAGATGACCAACTTGTGAGACTAGTCTTAGCAGTTTATACAGCCTGTCCCTGAAGTATTTCTATTCCAAATAATAATTGCAAAAACAACCCTTTGCAAGTCATATTTCCAAAAGTTATACAAACCGTCCTGCAGAAGATGATCTCCTCACACTGCAATCATGACAAGCAGGTCCACCGCTCAGAAACTCACTAGCGACACCTAGTGGATAAAAACACGGTACAACTTCAGATGGAAAAAAGACTGAAACATAAACCTAACATTATTTAGTGCTCAGACACTGATCAAATAAATTTGAAGCTCATCTGGTTTATCTCAGCATTTAAGACTTGAAATTTACTTATAGTGAGTAAAAATGGCTTTATTCAAACTGCAAACTTTAGACCTACTTCTAATCTCTCTTTACTGAGACCAAAGGATAAAAGAGAAACTGCAACAACATTTCAGATACATTCAACAAAAACGGTTTGAGGTTTCTGCCACAATTAAAACCATTTCTAACAAACTCTGAATAAAACAAAAGTTTGAAATATACATTTTAAATATAGGCTACCAGATTTATTAAGGCGTTTCTATTTACCTTTTGAAGCGGTTTAATCCGATCAATTCAGGCACACATTTAACTCCCAAAATAAATGTCAAAGCTTTGCCCTTAATATTTTCTGACTAAATACAAAACCAAAAGCTACATATATACCTTGCTCTCCTACTTAATTTCTTCCCCAAATCCTGATGTTCAGTGGGAATCAAGCCAAAAGGTCCAAATGAATTCTAATGACCATGTCAGCAGCTGTGGATCACTCAGACTGAGCTTGTTTTTTTAATGCCACATTCTGCAGATGGTTTAACACTCAAATTTTCTCACTCACATATTTATACAGCATTAGCTCACAGATGAAATCTGACAAGTGCACGTCTCGACCTTCCTAAATCCCCGCGACCATTTGAGCCATGCACTTAACGCCAATGTCCTAAATATCCATTTGGCATCCATGAGAAACAGCCTGAAAGAACAGGAAAACAAACTTCTTAGATTTAACTTTGAAATAACATAAATGTTTTTTTTTTTTACTCTTTTAGTGGATTACACGAAAGTAAAAATTATTGTTACTTTATTATAAAATACTCAACAGTAAATAGGTTAGATTTACTTCTAACTTTGATTCCTCAAAGGATTAGTTCACTTTTAAAAAAACCTTTGCTGATAATTTACTCACCCCCATGTCATCCAAGATGTCCACGTCTGTCTTTCTTCAGTCGAAAAGAAATGAAGGTTTTTGATGAAAACATTCCAGCATTTTCTCCATATAATGGACTTCATTGGGAACCAAACGGTTCACAGTCCAAAAGACACTTTCAGTGCAAACTGTTCTAAGGGCTTTAAACGACACCAGACGATGAATAAGGGTCTTATCTAGGACACTTCAAGTCATGACTCGAAAAAAGATTTGTTCATTTTTAATGAACAGGAGAGTCACGAACGCTTACAGAACAGAGCAAGGAGAGCATTTGTGCTTTTTAGACCGATGGTTTCTCTATATAAGACCCTTATTCACCGTCTGGTGTCGTTTAAAGTCCTTTGAAGCTGCACTGAAACTTTCATTTGGACCTTGAACCATTTGGTTCCCATTGAAGTACATTACATGGAGAAAATCCTGGTTTCTTTTCGACTGAACAAAGACATGGACATCTTGGATGACATGGGGGTGAGTCAATTATCAGCAAAAGTTTTTTTTAAAGAGAACTACTCCTTTAAAGTACCTTTATTTACCTTTATAGCTGTTAGATAGATATAGAAACAACAGAAACAAGAAAAAAGCTAATCTTACAACTTACCTTAAATTTTCTTTTTGCTGTACCATGTCTTGTGGCAAGTATTATGGCAGCATGTTTTGCATGAGCTTGTACTTCAGAAATGTACATAATGTAATAGTACAACTGAACGACAACACTGGCATGCATATATATATATATATATATATATAGAACACATTTACATTTAACACATTATTTAATTCAGCCACATTTTTCATTTATTATCATTTTACAACATGTACATTTGGCGGCGTCAAATCAAAATGGAAATTGTGTTGCTAAAATTTAATTCAGTTCAGTGTCTTTCTGAAGATGCCTTTGAATGAAACGAACTTTACTCAACCATGTGGTCCTGACAACAATATTTGGATAAGGACACACACTTTCCCCCACCAAAAATCAAAACATGTCTTTTGCACAAGCTTATAAGAAGAGTTGAAAACTAAGGCCTCGCTCAAGTACTGCAAATTACTTCTAGTTCTCCTTCAGCCTTTGTACTGAATCAGATAGGATGAAGTAGCACAAGCCGGATCGAATCCCTTGCTTCATACCAGCACTAAAGGAAGAGACGTCTTTCAGGGAAAGTAGATTGATTTAGACACAGTTACGCAGCCCTAAAGGAAATCACACATGGCTAAAACTCACAGACTGTTGCAGTCAGAGACGTGCGAAAACACGGCCCTCAAATAATGCCGGGAGGGATGAACATCATCCATTCGCATTCAAGAACAGTTCCTTTAACATTCACTTTTTCCTTTAACGGAAGAAAGAATCACATTAATAAGTAGTCAACGGAAGTTTAACGGGTAAAGCACATCGAGTAAAAAAAAAAGACAACCAAGAGATAAAGTTCAGAGCAAGGTTTCAGGAAGGGCCAGCGGCTCCTCCCAGGGTGTACCGCAGGTCTTGGTCCTGGCTGAACTGAGTTTCCGTAGCAGCGTCGGGCGGGGAGGCCGGAGGGGGGGTGGCGCTCCGAGGAGACGAGGGACGCGGGTCTGCAGGAGCGGGTGTGCGGTCCGAGGCCTGCTGGGAGATGAGCTGGAGAAGGGTCGCCGCTACGTCTGAAGTAACACCGTGAGCGTGTTTTGCAGGATCTGTGCAGGACAAAAAGATAGACACAAGACACTATTATGGCCAATCAACGAATTCACATGAGCTGCTGCAATAAGCAAATATTAATACTACTATTCAAGGAGTAGTTCACTTTTGCTGATAATTTACTCACCGCCATGTCTTTTGGTGTCTTTTGATGAAAACATTCCAGCATTTTCTCCATATAATGGACTTCAATGGGAACCAAACGGTTCAAGGTCCAAATGAGAGTTTCAGTGCAGCTTTAAATGACACCAGACGATGAATAAGGGTCTTATCAAGCGAAACGATCGGTCATTTAAAAAATAAATGAAAAAATCTTAAGTTTTATAAGCTCAAATGCTCGCCTTGCTCTGTTCTGTGATGAGCGTTCGTTACTCTCCTGTTCAAACTTGTTCATCAAAATGAACAAATCTTTTTTCGAGTCATGACTCAAAGGGTCAATGATAAGACCCTTAATTATCGTCTGGTGTCGTTTAAAGCCCTTTGAAGCTGCACTGAAACTCTCATGAACCGTTTGGACCCCATTGAAGTCCATTATATGGAGAAATGCTGGAATGTTTTCATCAAAAACCTTAATTTCTTTTCGACTGAAGAAAGAAAGACGTGGACATCTTGGATGACATGGGGGTGAGTAAATTATCAGCAAAAGTTTTTTTTTTTAAAGTGAACTACTCCTTTAAGCAAGCACTACATAAATAATATTAGTAAATCGTAACTTTAAGTTAGCATGACTAAAATTTTAGATAAATACAAACTTATTTTTATGTTTAACTCTAATATTAAGTAGAACTTTAGACTTTGAACTACACAAGATTTGTTCCAGAAACATTTTTTGTTATGCTAGCTGAAAGTCTCTTCACATCCTGATAGCAATGACTAAGTTAAGTGATCTAAATGAATTTATTTGTATATATCTCGTCTGTTGAAGGCGTAGGGCCATAAAATCTTCATCCAATTATTTTAATCCAATGATACGATGTCCAACCTGCCTGCCTGTCAACGTATGTATTTCCATACTTCCGCACTCTGCTCGCGCATACATCACCCATCATCAGCACGTTTTATGCTATAGAGTTAGATAGACGTCAGTCATAACTGCAACCGAAAAAGTAGCCATCTTTAACAGTTCCTCCTGAACCAAAACAACCAGTTTATGCCACACATTCTCATCCTATGGCATTATATAGGTGACGCTTTTGAAATTGCGTCTAAACCCGGTGGACATGGCAACCTTTAGCGTCAGTATAACACGCTTTGGATATGGGTAGGTTTAGACTACTAGGGGGCGCCTTCTGGCCCATATATATCTGCGTCTCATATTGACACTAAAGGGTGCCTTGTGTGTCTGATATAGACACAATTGTCAAAAGCGTCACCTATATGACGCCTCGGGATGAGACCGGACTGGCCATAACTACTGTAATTTGTAAGAGATGGAAACCTGTGATATTATACTTGGAGCAGATTGTGACTCGAATGTATGCGTTTCAATGGCAGCACTATCAACGCCGAAATGAATCTGCAGCAGTCAGGTGGAACAGGGCGCTCTTTACGTTATCTTCATAATTATTGTAATGTTATTTGAGAAATCAGGTAGTTTAACGCAGTCTCTCATGACACTTTTGTTTTGCTCCCGGCTTTGTGTGTTCATGTGTTTTGAAGGAGGCGTGGCTTTGGAGGCGCTCTGAAGGGAGGGTGGGATCTTATGCTCTCAAAGTTAGCTCGCATTTTGCTAGCGGATCCTAAAATTGCCTACCCTACCTTTAATTACACTTAACTTGAAATATTGGCTAATCCAAATCATACAATTTAATAAAGATTATCAATATAATACTATTCATTTTTAAAAGTACTAAAATGTACTGCCGTGGACAAAAGTGTTGGCACACAAATTTTGTTTCAAAGTTTGCTGCTTTAGTTGTTGTCGTGTTGATTCATGCGGTTTTAATATATTTTTTTATATTGTAATAATTTCACATTTAATCTTAATGTAGAAAAAACAGACTATATTTTATATAGAATTGATCTGATATAAATATACAGATTGAATACACACTAAACATAAAAACAAATTATAAATTAAATATAGATTTTTTTTTTATTAAAGCAACTAAAAGTGATTTAGTCAAGAGCAATGAGTGATTTTCTCATTTTTGTTCTTTGATGAACACAGACAGTAGCGGGGATATTAGGCTGCTGTCACTTTAAGACCTGCCCTGAAGCAGCTTTCTGCTTTCAGCTTTCTTTCACTAATTCAATCTGTTCATCGTATAAAGCGATCGAGTCTCTTCAGAAGATTTTGGACTAAACTGCTCAATTCATTTGGATAAGTTTTACAATCTTTATCAAATTTTTGAAGCGTCAGTGTCAGATGCGTAACTTCCAATGGAGGGACGGAAATCAAATTACATCAAAAAGATCTTCATTTGTGTTTCTGAAGATGAATAAAAGTCTTGCAGGTTTGGAACGACATGAGGATGAGTAATTAATGACAAAATTGTCATTTTTGGGTGAATGATCCCTGTTGCCCTCAAACCGTATATCCTGTAATTGTGGACAAATGAAGGCATGGAGGACTCAGGTGTGATCCTAATTTTTATTTATTATAAATGTTAGATCACTGTCTTCGATAAAGTTTTGCCCATCCATTTATGGTGCTTTTTTTTATTTTGCGTGTATTTTTGAATTTATTTACTTCAAAAAGTACCATTTTTTTCTATGTAAATTATGCTTATTTTATGTTTTATTTTTTAATTTTTTTTAACTACATTAAAATATCATTCCAATAAGTTCTTAGAGCTAAAACCTAAAGATGAAGTGACTTTGCTGTCACCTGGTGTCTTATTTTGGCTTATTTTAGAATGCTCTAAATTACAGTTTTTCCCATTCATTTCTATGGGTGCCCATTTTTGACCCAAATAAGGAGGTTTTTTTTCACCCACTAACATTGTAGAATTGAGTCAAAAAATTGTGTGTGTTCAGAAGGCAAACTTAGGAAAAGTAGCCAAGTCTCGTACCGCTCAGATCAAGGGAAGTATTTTTTAAAAATAAATCAAAACTATTTTGCCCACATTTGTCCAGAATTCGGTTTTAGGGTTAATTGCTTTAAAAAAAATGATGCGTTAAACTAAAACAAATGATCGAATGTGTTTGTTAAATTTGACAGCCCTGAATTTAAATACTTGCAAAACGCTTCATTTGGCAAACAAAATATATTTACCACAAAACCCCAAATTTCACTTTTTTTTCTCCACGTCATCAGCACATGGCAAGTGTGATAAAGTACTAGTCATCATACTGATTGGATTATAAGAGCAGACTGATTGCTATTAAAGGAGGGAAGAAGTGCTTCCTCATTGTGTTAGCAATGGTTGCCTCCAAAGAAAGATGTGCAGCGATCAACACGTGATCATGGCCTCACTTGTAAGGAAATCACTGCAAAGAATATTGAACATAAAGTATAATTTACTGGATCAAGAACTTCAAGGAGAGAGGTTCAACCGCAGAAGACATCCCAGAGTGTCTACAAGCGCCTGGACGTCTCCTATGGTGCTCAATATTGGCAACAGGAGGGCGTGAATACATCCACAAACACAGTGAAGCCAAGACTTTTGGAAAACAGCCTGGTGTCAAGATGGGAAGCCACTTCTCCAAGGACAGACAAGGATAGAACAGCTGAAGACTGGTGCAGAGGTGTTTTCTCCGATGAAGCTTGCTAACGACTGTTTGGGAAATCTGGAAAAATCAAGTGCTTGGGGAAGAAAAGGTGGTCCAGTGTCGTGCCGACAGTGAAGATTCCTGAGAACATTGATTTGTGGGGTTGCTTTTCATCTAAAGAGTGAACTCTCACAATTCTGCCCAAAACACTGCCATGAATAGAGGATTGTATCAAAATGCCCTGAAAGAGGAACTTCTTCCAACGACCCAGGAGAAATTTGGTGATGATACGTGCAGTTCCAGCATGATGGAGCACTACGTCACACTCACAAGGCAAGAGTGATCATGAAGTGACTCGGATGTCATTCATTTTGGATCCGTGCCCAGGCAACTCTCTGGATCTTAATCCCATAAAAAACCTGTGGTCAGTACTCAAAAGGAGAATGGACAAGCAGAAGTCCACAAATTGTGAAACTCCCAGCACTATTAAGGCAAGAATGGATCAGCATCTGTCAGGATTTGGTCCAGAAGAGAGTTGATATACCAGAGAGAGTTGCAGAGGTTATGAAGAAGCATTTACTCTCTGCGTATTTGAAGTGTTTTTGCCAATTTAAAACATTTAAAATGCGTATCACTGTTTTTCAATGTACCATAGAAACTTGAAAACATTATAATGAAGCATCAAACTTTTGCAAAACAAAATGCGTCACTGCCAATACTTCTAGACACGGCTGTACTTAAAAACAAACAAATAGATAAAATAAAAAAAAAATCGTAGAATTGTAATTCTGGAGCAGTATTAAACGCACATCAAACTACGAATCTGCATAGAGAAATTATTTTTCACTCAAGCAAATATCAGCTTTATTTCCTCTTAACACATTTTTTTTTATGTAATTGTCAAATATATGCAACATTTGAAAATATTTTAAATCATTATGGTTAAATATATAAAGTAATTCTGTTAAATAAGTGCAACATTTGAAAATATTTTAAATCATTATGGTTAAATATATAAAGTAATTCTGTTAAACGTGCAACATTTGAAAATATTTTAAATCATTATGGTTAAATATAAGTAATTCTGTTAAATAAGTGCAACATTTGAAAGTATTTTTACAAATATTTTAAATCTTTATGGTCAAATTTATAGTGTACAGATTTAACCTTTTATTTTATACATTTAAAATGTTATTTTAAGAAGTATATAATTAGCAATATTAACAGTAGAGTATATATTTGTTATATAGTGTTATTGCTGTTCAGAGATGAATACAGCATTGTGTGACTGTTCACTGATTATAAGTCTAATGCTTCAGTTGTTTACGTTTTTCATTTATTTACTGTAAACTTAATTCAGGGAGTGTGATGTCTGTGTCGAGTTTAAATGGATGACATTTGTTTTTATTAAAGGGATACTCCACTTTTTTTTGGAAATAGGCTCATTTTACAACTCCCAAAGAGTAAAACAGTTGAGTTTTACCGTTTTTGAATCCATTCAGCCGATTTTGTGATATTTAGAAGAATATCAGTAACCAGACCGTTTCTGGTCTCATTGACTTCCATAGTACATATTTTTTCCTACTATGGAAGTCAATAAGACCAGAAACTGTTACTGATATTCTTCTAAATATCAAAAAATCAGCTGAATGGATTCAAAAACGGTAAAACTCAACTGTTTAACTATGGGGGAGTTATAAAATGAGCCTATTTCCAAAAAAAAAGTGGAGTATCCCTTCAATCAGTAAAGTCATTCCTGGAGTAAAGTCAAGTTCTGATCTGCATCTCTTACACTGACCTCCAGCTGAATCACAGGTAAGAAATGCACTAATATGATGAGCAAACACACACGTCTGTATGGCTAAAGTGATTTTTATCAGTGGTTGGTCTCTAAGCTAATAGAGAAGTCGTCCTGAAATGAATCCATGCGTGACATTGAGGCAGTCCTGCAGGAGATGTGGGATTAACCTCCTCCACACTGCTTTTAAATAAACGCATTGACTTACAGCAACTGGCTCAAGTCACTAAAGGTGGTTGTTTGTAAAAATACACATAATAATAATAATAAACCTCGCATCATATTTAAATCTCTCGAATGATGATGATACTAATAGTACAGTCACAACAGGAATGGTGCAGCACTGTCCGAAACTTGCATATTTCTTGCATATTAGTTTTTCCTTTTGGATTTGTTTATGGGACTTCTACATGTCTTATTCACAAATTTTCTAAATTCATTAATATGTTACTTATGAAACTACTATTGTATTAATAGCCTTATTATAATCCATATATTTCAAATGTTAAATAAGATTCTGATCTAATAAGCGTCTCAGTTTTAAGGAAAGTGGGAAAGGTTTTTAATTGTATTCTAATTTTAGACTTTTGCTGTTTAGGAGTATAATTGTATAGACTTTAGCTTTCTTTGACTTAAAGGGATAGTTCACCCTAAAATATAAATTAAGTCATCGGTCAACCTCAAGCGGTTCCAAACTATATGAATTTCTTTCTTCTGTTGAACACAACATAAGATATAACAAGAAAGTTGATTTACCATCGTAGGAAAAAAAAAATTGATGGAAGTCAATGGCTGCCGTCAACTGTCTGGTTACCAGCATTCTTGAAAATATCTTCTTTTCTGTGTGTGTTCAACAGAACTTAAGTCATTAAGTGAGGACTTAATTTATTTTAATGGGTGAACTATCCCTTTAAGTATTTAGAACTGACTGACTGTAGATGGTGATGCTTTTTAGTTGGTAACCTAAAAGATAAAGGGGCAATCACTATATACTTGTGATGCTTTTGATAAGGCTGTTCACAAGCTATGATAAAAATATTTTTAAAAATTATTTAGATAGCTGAGCGATGTCAGTGTCATCCAAATTCAAACAAATTCAAACAAAACACCACATGCACCTGCAAATCTGACCAGTTCAGCTCAGCAAACTTTATTCATAAACTAAAAAAAAGGCCCAGTCCTGCAGAAATCTGTGCACCAATACGACACTAAATTAAACAAATCCTAGCCACCTGAAATCAATTTGTTCGGTCAGGGGCGAGAGAAGAAACGGTCTATAAAATCGCGATAAAGACGCATGTGGGATTGTGGAAGTGCAAAATGCCCTTTTACACCAAGAAATACTAAATTGTCATTTATTAAAACTGGGTGTGCGTGTTATGTTTGTCAAATTTTTAGTCTGACTATTATTATTATTACATAACTATGTCATGTTACATGTGTTCCCTCTGCACCAGTGAGCTTTAAGTTCACATACACACAATCACTACAACAGTTTGGAGACTTTCCTCAATGTGCCGGAGAGATCCGACCTGATACAGAAACTAAAATAAAATTTTAAAAAAGTCCCAAAAGAACGCTCCTTCTCCATGAAAGAAAACAGGATTGATAAGGGTGAGGACAAAATATGCAGTATAGCTATAATTTATTTCACACTCACAATAAGGCTTTTATTACAGTGTGTATTCCTGTGTGTTCACAGATTAAAACCCAAAGACCATGTGATAGAGGAAGAGGGCAGAGACAAAAGAAAACGACCAATGAGGAACTGAGTGAAGACAAAAAGCGCTTTCATTTGGCAGGATAAGGTCAGCTGATCTTAATTCGACTTAGCATCTCTCTCAGATGAGAACCAGTATCATTCACAGATGGATGAGTCTTATGTGCCAAGAATCTGTTCGCTTCATATTTCACCCAAATAATCGATTCATTATATTTTGCATGAAATAAGTCTATTTTTATACGATTTATTGCATGTGATGACATCATAATAAAATAAATTCAATTTAAATAGATTCCCATTTTTTTTTAATTTCCATTTTTCTCAATGAAGACACTCTGAAAAAGGTAATGAAAATATTTTTTAAATGAACAAATTTAAGGTGGTACAACAAATGCTATTGTGATGTATAAACTACTGCAATACTACAACAAATTAAACTATATATATATATATATATATATTAGAGCTTTAAATGAATTAATCACGATTAATCTCATCTAACATAAGTTTGTTTACATAATATGTCTGTGTGTATACATATGATATACAGTAAATATAATATACACAAACATATATTATGTAAACAAACTTTTGATTGATTTGATTTATATATATATGTATATAATTATACATTTAATTTTTTATACTTTAATTTTATAAAATATTTCAATTTTATTGTATCATTTGTAATGTATATTTTATGTTTTATTATATTTGTTATTAATTAAATGTTTTTATTTTATTATAATTTTTATTATATATAATAAATTGCATTACTGCATTACAGTATTGAGAACATTTTTTTTCTATTACAGTAATTCAAATTGTCATGAAAATAAGATAAAAAAAAAAAAAACCTCATGGTCCTAATTATTTGAAGTATTTTCTTACTGCAGAATATAAATGTTCGATTTTAGGGTGAAATATGACAGGGGCAAGTTCTTGACAGGACGTTAAGATTCGCCCACCTGTGCTAAACCAATTCAGTACGAGAGGCATAATGATGCGTGAAAGTCAGCGGTTGGAAACGTTACTTGGCTTCCTCCAGTTAAGTGTCGTTTTCTGAGTGTACTAAAACAGAGACACGTTAGTAGAGGTGTGTCCAAAACGGCTCTTTATTTCAGAACTGCTTAATCTGGATTTAAAAGAGTGACAGAATTTAACGCAAACACTGTAACCATCTGTCAAGGACTTATGTGTGCCAATAGATGAGGAGCTCCCACATTGTCTGAGAGTGTATTTCCGCACACAAAAGGTCCGCTGGGCACCGACGCGGTGTGAATGAATGACACGCAGACGGTGCTCTGGGGATTTCGCTCCTATGAAAATAAAACGAAATACTGCAAGACTGTAAATCTCAAAAGGACGAAAACAGAAAATAAACATCTGGGTTTTCAAAAAAGCATGACAATTTATTTCTCTATTCGTTAGCTTGCAGTCTTCCAACTAATTAAATGTTTCCCCCTTTGTGAGATTTTAGGAAGAAAAGAACAACAACAAAAAAAAAAAAGAGAGACATCTCTGCAAGAAAAGCGTAGCGTTTCTTTGATGAGGGTGGGTCCCACATAACCAGCACGCTATTGAGACATTCCACGCCACGTCTTTTTAGCCCTGGCCAATCACAGCATTCGACTACTCAGGCCCCGCCCCCATAAACTTAACTAACACTTGCCCTCGCGATCGCCGCTCACGACGGAAGCGGAGCCGCCCCGCGCCGTGCCCTCGTCCGACCGCACTCCGTTGCTTTCGTCTGCCCGCTCCGCCCCTGGCTCCGGGGCCTTTATCAGCTGCTCTAACAGGAGCGCGAGCAGCCCGGTCTGGTCTTCCTGCGGGACCTGTGACTGCTGCGGGACACTAGAGGACTGGATAAGGGTGGAGAGCTGGCTGAGCAGTTCAAGCTGCTGTGCGGCGTCAGGTTCAGGGGTGCGGGACAGCACTGATGTGGAGGCTTCAGAGGAGGAGCTGCGGAGGTACTCCGCCATCTGTGGGATGCTCAGATTGTCTGATTGGCCCTGGAGCAAGTTCAGCAGCACCGCCAGCTCAGTCTGGTTCAACTGCTCCGCTGCGGCTCCCAGACCTGTGCATAGAGACAGTTACTTTTCATAGCCATTGACGGAAAAAACAGAATGTTCTTCGCCTTTCCATTTACATATCGCAGCATTCAGCAAATTGGCTCAATGAGAAAGCTGTGGAGAGAGTATTATTTCAAAAACACCAGAAAAGGATATTGAACCCGTCCCAAATAGACACTTTCACACTTCCAGGTTCTTAGAAGCCGAAGTCGTCGTCGTCGTCGTCATATGGCGCTTTTCCACTACACATTACCAGCTCGACTCGCCTCGCCTTTGTTTGGTTTTCCACTGTGTAAAAGTTGTACCTGCTTTCGGGTACTTTTTTTTTTTTACCACCTCCGGCGAGCTAAGGCGATACTAAAATGTCACGTGAAAACAATGCTGATGGTCACTGCTGATTGGTCAGAGAGAATCGTCACCATTCACTGCGTCATCATTACACACGCCAGATGGAGTATCCAGAATAACCCCGCTATTTTTAAATAGTTTGACCAGAGATAGTTACTAAACTTACTACTATTATGGCAACTCGGAAGAATACGCCGTGGTCAAACGAGGAGGTGCAGACTTTCCTTTGTTTGGTTGCCGAAGAGAGGATCCAGCGAGAGGTTGATGGGGCAACGAGGAACGAAAGGCGTCCGGGTTAGAGGTCTTCACAGTGCACCTGGGACCCGTACGGGTTCGGGTCTATATTTTAAATGAGCAGCCGGGTCCGGGTCGGGTCCGAATCTATTACTTCGGGTCCCGGGTCTGTTTAACATTGTGTGTAATAACAACGCATTCTCATTCTTTAGCGTCATATAGGACGCGCTGTATAACAAAACGGCGAAATACTACTCAGATGGCACCCGTTATCGTTAATATAACACGCGCTGAGAACGGGCTGGTAATACACGTGCGATTTGAGTGCAATCTCAAGCGCGTGTCATGTTTCTATGGCAACCAGAGCAGAGCTTCCGCCAAACTGCTTTACATTTTCACCAATGTTTATAATAATATAAATGAACCGTCTTGTTTAATCTTAAAGTTTTGGTGGTCAGATTCAGACTCAATGAAGAGCAGAGAGCACAGATATGATCAAGCTGAACAAGCAATCGTTATTATAGTTCAAAAGGGCAAACAGTTAAAGTTATTATGCGAGTTAACTCGAGTCAGAATGTGCATGTGCAAGGCTGCATTTTTCATCCATCACCGTGACATCAAGTGGACTTTTAAAGCTGAAATAATGAGTGGATTAAGCTTGGAAAAACCGGAGAAATAACATGGATAGAGCTTTCTTGTCGGTGGATTGTAATGCATCACAGTCAGTCAGATAACGTCAGGAAGTGAGACGACGACTACTAAAATTAGGTAAGACAAAAAGTTTTATTTTTCGCAACTCGTGTGAAATAATATGTGACAATCGGGTCCAGTCGGGTTTGTGTCTTCCTGCCGGGTTCGGGTCCAGTTTTCAAATAATAGACGGGTCCAGGTCGGGTCCGGGCAGTACATTTATGGCATTTCTCGGGTCTGCACGGGTCCGGGTCCAACTTTTGAAATGAACGACGGGTCCGGGTCGGTTCGGTGTAGCACATTACGGGTCGGGCATGAATTTTTGGACCCGTGAAGACCTCTAGTCCGGGTACTATTTGTGGCGGAAAATGTTGCGTAAAGCGAGCCGAGCCGAGGCGAGCTGGTGCTGGTAATGGAAAAGCGCAATAGTTAGGTGAACTTCTATAGTGGTGAAGGGATTTTTTTGCTATGCCATAGAAAAGCTGTTGATTTATAAACATTCACGTCGGTTATAGGCTCTGAATTTCGGTTTCGATTATTTTTCGGTTAATCGTCCAGCCCTACCCGGGTATGCTTGATTTTGGTTCTTTCACACTGCCACTGGTTTTCCAGAATCAGAGTGCGTTCACACACAACCCATAAAAATCAATGTGACATGTAATGTCTCAGCAGCGTCTTAAGTTTGCTTATGAGCTGCGATTTCTCTCTTGCGAAACCACCTTTGTGCTTTTTTTTCTCTGATTCGATCATAAACTAGTACATTAGCTTTCACTAGCTGTTCACAGTACCGTTTCACTAGCTGGCGAACGATCCCGATTTCTGCATTACTTACGGCTTTTGTTCACACAGCACGCGTTCCGGGACTGATACCGCCATTGTTACTAGGTCCCCAATCAGGCATCAATCCCGGGTCGTGTTTGCGTTCACACACAAGGCGTTCTGGCAAATTCCCGGGATCAACGTGCTGTGTTTGGCTGGTCTTGCAACTGTCAGAGCGAAACGAAATCTGCTGTTCTCTGTATGTTTTTTCGTTGTCTCCAGGCGCGATCATATGTCGATTTTATGGTCACTCTGTCCTGCTACCTAACCCAGTTCCTCTAACTACCTGCCTGTAGTTCTCAAGTTAAGGGAACACAAAGGTTCCTGTCAACTCATGGCCCACCTTCCAGCTCAATGGCTGTGATGTTCGCCGGTGCAGGATGGGCCGATGGGGGTGGAGGAGGGGGTGGGCTCGGGGGCGGCCGGCTGTTCTCCCCTGCGGAGGCTCCTGCGGTTTCCTTTCGGGTAACTTTGGCAACAGGGATATCCTCAGACACTCCGCTTTGCCTCTGCCTCCGCCGCTTCTTGCTCCAGAGCTCATGACAGTCTTGCCAATGAGGCAAACTAAAAGAAAGGTCACAATACAAAACAGTTAGGAATGTGACCTCACTACTCATTCCACAAATGTAGTGTCATTAAAGGGATGTTTCACCCAAAACTGAAAAAAAATAGTGATTTCCAAAGCATAGAGAAAAATACATAAACACTATGGAAGTCAATGGTGCCTCACAACTGTTTGGTTGCAAACATTCTTTAAAATGTTTTCGCTTGTGTTCAGCACAACAAAGTCATCTCTACAGGTTTGTACCAACTTAGGGCGAGTAAATGATAACTTAATTTTCATTTTTGGGTGAACCGTCCTTTTAACAAACTAAGATTTGAATGACGTAAGATGTGGTTCTAGGTGTGCACTGACTCTGGTGGCGGCATCTTGTTGGGCTCCACATCACACAGGAATTGGCAGGCCAGGGCCTGTTCAGCAGTGCAGCGTCTCGAGGGGTCCAGCGTCAACATGTGGTCCAGCAGGTCAAGAGCAGAGGTGGGCAGACTGGAAAGAGACATTTGGATTATACTAATGGAAATTATTACTAAAAAAAGAGAAATACATGTATGCATTTGGCAGATGTTTTTATGCAAAGAGACTTTTAGTATTCAGGAGCATAACAAGGGCAGAAATAATTATGCACATTATCTAAAATGATTTTTTAAATATATACTACCGTTCTGTTCAAAAGTTTGTGGTCAATAAGATTAATTTTTTTAAAGAAATGAATCCTTTAATCAGCAAAGATGCATTATTCAAAAATTGTAACAAATGTGTTTACTACTTAAAATAAATGCTGTTCTTGTGAACTTTCAATTCATCAAAAAAAATCCTAATTTATTTTTTTACAGATTAAAAAAACAAGCACAACTGTTTTCAACATTGATAAGAAATGTTTTTTGAGCAGAAAATCATCATATTAGAATGACGTCTGTAGGATCACGCGACTCTGAAGACTGGAGTAATGATACTGAAAAATCAGCTTTACATCACAGGAAAAAAAAAAAACATTTCAAATATATTTCAATAGAGAACAGTTATTTTAAATGATAATAATATACATTACAATTGTAGAGTTTTTACTGTATTTCTGATCAAATAAATGAGACTTCTTTCAGAGAATAATGGAAGTGTTTTAGGAAGCAGGTTGAACTTACAAGGAAAATTCCTCTCGTAAGCGTCGTCTGTACTGTTTCTTGGGTCTCATGGTATTGAAGTACGGCAGCTTAATTACGTCTGGCCAAGCAGCAGGGCACGGACTACCACACAAACGACTGACCGAAACAAAAGACAAACACTGGAGTGTGACGGCATTAGAGCTAAACTACACATGCATTCAGAGATCGTGAGCAGCATACCTGATCAGCTCAAGCTGCAGAAGCTCTTGGTTGGCCTGGAAAATTGGTTTCTTAGTGAAGAGTTCTCCCAAAATACACCTTTACACAACAACAACAAACCATGTCATTAATACATTAACAGCAGCTGGTGTGTAAATGTAGCGAGATGGAAAACAGACAGGACATCTTACCCGCAACTCCAGACATCAATAGCGGGCGAGTATCTCTCCTCCCCCAGTAGCAGCTCAGGTGGGCGGTACCACAGAGTGATCACCTTATTAGTGTATGGTCGACTGCAAACAACCATCAAGTTAGAATTACTCACCAGAGCTTTGCAGTATCAATTATGTTTACTGTTGTTGAAATCACTTGAAACTTTTAAATACAAGTTAAAGCTGTTTAGCACAGCCTGCAGTAAGAGTCATTCTAACACAGACGTACCTTTCCTCAGAGTTATAGAGACGAGCCAAACCAAAATCTGCTAGCTTGATCTGACCACTGAAAAAATAAAAATAAATAAATAGATGTAAGAGATATGGAATGCAAATTTCCAAAAATCCCTAAAACTTTTATAATATAAATTTAAAACATTTTTATTTTGTAAATTGAAAACTACAAATATGAGGTCAGGGCAACGTTTCATAATTTGACATGCAGGTATTTGTAATATTACTTAAATGCCAGTACATAACATTAATGATTTATTACAAAAGAACATGATAAAGTTAATTAAAGTAGATTCACAACTCGTGAGTTTATTTCATAGAGTGCAAGGTTAGGTAAGAATGCAAAATTGATGAAGAAAATCATTGCACATGCTTTAAAATGTTGTTCTGTTTTTGAAAAGTCTCTCATGCTCACCAAAGCTTGATTTATTCAAACTTTATCATTTTTTTCAAAGATTTTATCAAAGATCAAACTACAATAAAAACATTGGATTACACTTCAAAATAACAGTTTTCACTTTGAATATATTTTAAAATGTAATTTATTCAAAAGCTACATTTTCAGCATCATTACTCCATTACTTCAGTATCACATGATCCTTCAGAAATCACTCTAATATGCTGATTTGCTGCTCAAGAAACATTTTTTATTATTATCAATGTTGAAAATAATTGTGCTGCTTAATATTTCTGAGGAAACCATGATACATTTTTTCAAGATCCTTCAAACGTTCAAATAGAATTATAAATGTTGTTTGACACTTTTGATTAATGCATCCTGTATTATTTATAAAAAAATCTTGCTGACCCCAAACCTTTGAACAGTAGTGTAACTGAACAAAGAACATGTAATCACTACGACACTGACTTAAATCACTTAAAAACACAGGCTCGTACCTGTTGTTTAGCAGGATATTGGAACACTTGATGTCTCTGTGCAGAAAGTTCTTCTTGTGGCAATAATCTAATCCCTCCATCAGCTGACGCATGAAACTCTGCACATGCTCGTGGGAGAAAGACACCAGTCCTGATTCCAGCAGCCCCATCAGGTCATGGTCCATGTACTCAAACACCAGGTAAAACGCACCTAATACACAACAATTACAGGGGAAAGCCTTAGGAAATGAAAAATGTTTCAGGTGAGTCTCTAAACAGATGGTTCCTATCGCTCCATGTCTGATTAAAAACTCTTTGGCTCTTAGGTTAAGGCAGGATTAGGCCTTAGTTTAATTAGTATAAATAATTCGCTTTTATAAACCTGCCTTAGACAAAAAACATTGCTGATGTGCATCTTGAGACAAAACAATGGCACTGACAAATTTTACGATACGCCAGTGCAAGTTATTTTCAGTTAAAACAGCTCAAATGTACAATTTAGTCTGGGAATAGGCTTAAGCCTCGCCTGTGAAACCGAGAATTACTGCCATGTATCGTAAAAGGAGGAGAATGGCTTTTGAAACACATCCCATGTTCACTACAGAAACTGAAAGCCTGAAAAACATGCAAATGCATTTAAACAGACCTTTGTCCTTTTTAAAGTCAAGTGCGTCTTGTTTATCGGTGACGATCTCTTTCATGTTGACAACGCTGCGATGGTTCAGTTGTCTCAGGATCTTGATCTCTCTGATGGCAGTGATGGGGAAACCCTCCTTTTCATTATCTAATCGAACCTTCTTCAATGCCACCAGCTCTCCTTTAGAAACCAAAAACAACATAACAGCAGGCAGTCAGCACGTCTTCTCTTTTACAAAAACCGTGTCAGGAAGTGAGAGTTGATTTATGCGTTCTTGTTTAAAAGAAGCCCCACAGTGTTGGGTTTTTGCCATGGCAAAAATATTGGTGTAATAACAGAAAGAGGGCAAAGACTCTGCATTAACAGTGAAAGAAACATAGCTACAACACACCTGTGTCTTTGTCTTTTGCCTTGTACACCTGACCGTAGGTTCCTTCTCCAATGATGCCGATGATGTCAAACTTATCCACACATCGCTTTCCCCAGTCAGTTTGAGTCTGCTTCCTCTCTCCATATCTCGGACAGCAGATCCTGCACACATTTGACAGACTCTTGAGGAACTGATCATCACTTTCTCTTATACGCCTTATTCACGGCAGCGCCATCTTTGATTTTTAATGAGAATGAAAGCGAGGGTGTGAGGGATAGACTTGCATCTCTTCAATGGGCTGTACTGTTATTAATGTGTTTTCGTTTTTGTTCAGCTCATGAAACACTGGAAAAATATCTTTCCAAGAAATTTTAGACAAAAAAACTATAAGCTGTGGAAAATTGTAAGTAATCTAGGAGCTTTATTCAGCTTTTTACAGCGGATGCCATTGGAAACACGGTAAGTCTATCTCTCACAGCCTCACTTTCATACATGTCATGGCGCTGCTCTGAATAAGGTCTATTCTGCTTTTTAACAAAACCTGATGAAGACTTCAAGCATCCATGACTTTAGAAATAACTATTAGGGTTCTAATTGAAAACAGTTAATGATTAACATTTAACATTAACATTTTAATAATTAACATTAAAACGATTTTTCTGGTTAAAATTGCATTTTGTGATATATATATATATATATATATATATATATATATATATATATATATATATATGTTCTTTTAGGGATATCATGGTACCAAAATTCCAGAAGTCGGTCCAGATGCTATTAAAATATTACGGTTTTCGGTACCAATTTCGGTCCCACAGCAAAATCGGTTTAAACTATTTGAAAAAAAGTATTACATTTTATTACTTTATTATTTATAACGGTAAATTTATGAAAGCAATTAATGGAGACGTAGTGAAATCTATTGTACAGTAGCCTAATATAATTATTACGGTCAATTTCTTTAAGTTAAACCAAACTTTTATTTTGACGAGTTGCCGTGAAGACCTTCGAGTTTCTGTGCGTGTATGATATGACGAGTTTTTCTCAATTTAAACGGGAAAATGCTCATGAAGTGACTCTCGGAGACGAACTGAATCTTGATTCATGTCATCATATCATGAGGCAACAGAGACTGAAAACAGAGGGAGCGTCACTCGTGCTTCAGTGTGTTTGTGTGTGTGTGTGTGTGAGGTAACGTTAAATGAAACCACGCATCTGCGCCGTTCATTCGCACAAAGACAAGCAGAACATGCAGGGTTAATATTTAACTAGTCTTTTTGCAGCAGACACCACATCAGCAGCACCGCACACTATGTTCTTACTAGAAAAGTATTATTTTTCACATTTTTCCCCAAATAGGAAGGAGTAAGCATTACTGAGAGCTAAACACAAGCCAGAAGGCACCCTCCTGCAGAAACTACAAATATGCCTCACAGAAGTAATATACTCACGACACTTCAGAAAATCTCTAACATGGACAAAGGCATCAAGCTATCACTGAAGCTGAACAAAAACAAGATGAAAACGCTATAATGACAACAAACACACGACTGCCGCAATATATAGTTTATCCTTAGTCTATCCAGGAATTTTACTAATAATAAACCATATTATGTTATGTTATTCTATACAGTGATAAATGCTATGTCAAATAGCATTGCATTATAAATATATTGTCTTCCTCATTATATGACAAGAAGCTCATCAGCTCACAAATGGAAGTTATTTCAAACACTCGACTGACGTTATGAAACGAGTTAAAACGTTTTTATGACAACAGGTTTCGCATTACAAATTTGGGAAAATGTTTGACACATTTTCAAATGCAGGTTTTAAGCGACTGGAGTAGCATTTAGCCTCCACTAACACACTGTGCATATATTTATTTAATGAAAAATTAATTTAATTTTGATTAATCATGCAGCCCTATTGCATAAGAAACTACTTTAAAAAAAAAAAAATCTTACAGACCTCAAACTTTTGAATGGTAGAGTAGCGGAATATTAATTTTACCCCAATCGTCCCTAAATGAATGATGAACAGTGACACTTACTTTGGTCTCTTCTTGAAGGATGTCTGCAGAAGCGGTGGGGAGGCTCGAGCAGGGGATTGTGGGGGGGAGGGGTCTCCTCCAGGAAGTATCGGAGGGAGGGGCAACTCGCTGAGAAGGCGTGTCCTGCCCTCTCTTTCCTTTTCTTTCTCCTTCTCCTTCTCCCTCTCCCTGTCCTTTCGTGATGACCTATGGGAAAGATTGCTCTTCTTTGGACTGAAAAAAAAAGAAAAGAAAAAAAACTTTAAACGGTAACCAAAACAATCACATTTGCCTGTCGTTGATATTTTTTAATTCAAATGGGCGATATAAGTGTAGACACGGTTAACCAGTAGAAATTTCACAACAAGTAGATATTTTGGACTATCGTGGTTATGCTCAAGTGACATTGCTGTGCGGTCACAAAAGCTCATCATCTGCATGTGTTTAAGCATTTTGGTTTAAAAACAACTGATGGTAAACTGCTGAAACACAATAAGCAGCGAAAGAGAACTAATTTCGCTGTCTGAGATACCCACACGAAGCTGCTGCTCACAGAGCGCATGAATACAGACTTCTTTTTTGCTGCCTAATCAGACTTGAACGGTTAAATACACATACTTGGATCAAAATGCTTGCCTTTGCAAGTATCTGCATAAACGCAGTCTTAAGTTAACTTGAACTGTTGAGAAAGAAAACGGATACGTAACAGTACATTGGATTTGTGCATTCAGTCGTAAAGTGACGGCAGCCTAATAAACCTGCTGTCATCTGTGTCAATGTTAATCAAACAACAAAAAAAGAAAATCTCTCAATGCTCGACTGACTTTAATTTACACAGTGAAGATGTGATTACTTGTGAAGATGTGTGATTACATACACTTCATGTAAGCTAGTAATTCTTATTTCTAGTGCTTGAAGCTTTCGGATAGGTCTATTTCTTTATTTTATCTACTTCAGTAAAATTAAGTTTTTTATTTTAAGGTGCTATATGTATTTTTTAGCAGCCTCTATTGGTGATGTTTCAGATTGGAACAATGTTTACAAGAGCATGTGTGCTCGAACACAAGAGCGGGCACTCATGTTACACGGCCAAACTGAGACTTTCAACACAACGGCGAAATCATCATCAACATGCTGGAAACTCATGTAAACTCCCACTGCAACATTGCAATAATAGGCTACTTTATCAGCTTGACGTTGAACTAATGCTCCATGGTAACGCTACATTTGTGGTGTAATCTAGCATAAGGCATTTCACTGACTATTCGTGTATCTTTCACAATCAGCAATGTCAACACAGGGGAATGTATAATATGATAAACGAAAACGGTTAGTGAACTAGACTGAACAATTTCAGTGTAACAGTAAGATTGTAGGAAGTAACATTACTGTACTGAACGTGTCTGGAAATGTTTATTATAAACAATATGATAGCAGTGGGATGAGTTAGACAGTAGATCTAGTAAAGAAAATAAAAGTTACATCCTAATAGGGTTGTCACAATTCTCCAAATCCTCGATTCAATTACATTTCCGATTCTAAGGTCACGGTTCAATTCAATTCTCGATTTTTATCAATCGGCCAATCAGAAGGGTCTCTGTCTTACATGCGCTTCATGAGGCACATGCAAGGTCTCTCGCTCTCTCTCTCCCTCTCTGCCGTGCGCACAATACTGTTTGAAGCACAATTTTTTTCTGTCTCGGCATGCACGCTCGCTCTAGATTCCAGGAGATTTTAACTAATTCGCGTGCATCAGGGAGCCGCTATCAATATGCGGGAGACTTCTGGAACTTCCGCGAGACTTGGGATGTCTGCAAACTGTGGCTTTTTTGAAGCGCGAACATTGTCAACATAACTCACTGGAAATCCAAAAAACTTCCACACCTGCGACTTCAATGAAGGGTTCGTTCTGTCGATGGGTCTCATGCATCTTGCTATCTTTTGAATGGCTGTAGCTAAGTTAGAGGAGGTTGACCATAGACTCACAGCACTTCAAAACGCGCATTTTTTCCGTTTGGCAAGCCGAGCGGACGTGACATGGGGGCGTGGCAGCATCGACCATTCCATTTTTTAATTTGAAGTTCAAGATTGTGAATTAATTTCGATCGATTTCATTTTTTGTTATCCTGGAACAGTCTTTTGTGTTCATTTTATGTCTCATATGTTGTAGTAGTTTACCTTGCTATTTCATTAGTTTAACATTATTTCAGCATATCTGAAAAGTTTTCAGTGAAAACTTAAATTTTTTACATAGGCTAGAATTAATTTGTTATATCGAAATAACATTAGTAGTAATCTCACAAAATAACTTTAATCTACTGAAATGGATGTTTATATATATATATATATATATATATATATATATTTATATTTCCGTGCAATGCAATAACTACTAGGGCTACACAATATTGAAAAAAAACTGACATTAAAAATTGTGATATGAAAACAATTGAACCAATGATACCATGAACCAAATTTTCCCTTGAAATAGGAAACCAATCACAGAACAGGGAGGGAGCACAGGCGCATTTGATAGACATTCGTAGCACCCAATAATACGGCTCTGGGCACCCGTAAACCACGCCTCAAATACGTGAAAATGAACGTGTGGTTTCCAGACCACGTTTTATTCTCAATGACACATGGTCTGGCGTTAGCCAGGCTATTTCCTTCCCCCCATTAATGATAAATTAATATTTTCATAAATATTTGGCCATATCACCCAGCCCAAATAATATATATTTATAATAATAATGGTAGATACAGATAATAGTAGATAGTTTGAACAAGTATCTAGCAGCAATAACTAGCATCTTGTTCACAAAAGGAAAACTCTGTCTGCTACATTATATTCACCACATGTAAATATAAGTAATATACGTTTGCTAACAATGAATGGTCTGAAAATGGTGTGTAGTTAGCGACAACAGCCTTTGTCAACACAGCTATTTGCATTTAGCGTAAACAGACACCACCAGAAAACAACAGTTTGTTCTCAGCTTACATTCTCTACAGCCAAAACATGCCCACGTGCATCTGGGAAAAAGATGAAATGGCTAAACAGCACATATGCTTTGATCATGTGACAGAGCATTCACGTACAAATGGAGACAACAAACAAGTTTACTATAATATAGCCAAAGTGTCCAAATACTTATTTTGGGAGTGCACACATTTTGTTGCATTAAATACAATATCGAAGCAAATGTCATTCATTTTAAAGGTAAAAGGTAGCACAAACACACTTAAGTGAAACGCATAGAAAAGAAAGATTAATGACAATCCTAATAATATTCTGAGAGACACAAAACCTGAGGAACAGGCCAACTCAGGTGTGATCAAATAAAGCTTGATTTTCTGCATCACTGCACTTCAAATATGATCAGATTTGCAACACAAATGCAGTTGTATAATCACCGTAACCACAAGTGACAATTTTTTTTGTTTTACTGGTTTAGTTTAATTTATTTTTCTTTCAGCCTTAAATTTATATATTTCCAGTCCGTTTTAATGTTTAAATTGAAACTTTTTTTTAGTGAGTTGCAAAGACAACATTCAAATTTTTTATTTAGTATAAGTTTAAGCAAGCTAAATTTGGGATGGGCGGTATGACAATATATATTTTGGTAATTGATATGAAGAGTATTTGTTCTGTAATTTGTTCTGTAACCACTTCTGAATTTGAATCTTTAATAACTTTTACGTTCACACACAGTACGGATAAGCTTCAGTCAGTTAATGAAGATTTGACGGATAAACTTGGGGCTCAATTGGACTCTTGTCATTGCAAAAGTGATAAGACTTTCAAGTTTTATGGATGTCGCGAACTTTGATATTACTCTGATATTGATCTAACACACTATTGCTATGGTTACTGGTAAGAGAATACAGGCTTGACTCTCATTGCACGCTCATACAAAGTATTCGAGACGCTGCTATAAGTTGCTGTGTGAATGGGACATTGAGACTCAGATCTGTAAGTACATGAGGTTGTCAATCTCCAAAATTGACATTGTGTACGTAGCCAATATCGCAGCCCTTTTCATATCAGATGAGAGATGTTAAAAAGAGTTAAGCACAATAAGCCATGATTAAAAAACTCAATGCACACCCATGCCGACTCACACACATGAAGCACGCACACAGAAAACCGCCTCTCTAAAGGGCCTTTCACACGGAGCACATTTAAGCAACGCGAATGTACGTTGTGATAACACTCCTGAATAGAAACAATAGATCCCTATGGAGCGATTCACACTGGGCGCGATCAATCATAGAACGAAACAAGAGAAACTATTTTACAGATGAAACATGAACCCAAATATCTCATTGCGCAAGTCGCCCCCTCTGGCGACAAGTGAAACTGCAACCAGAGGTGTGCACGCTCACAGACCACACGCACATGCACGCTTGCAATAGCTGTTCATAACCAAAGGAGCATCAGCCGCACAAATCTTTTGTTACAGTCATAATGTCTTCAGAGGTAATAAAGTTATAAATCTGCAAGTCATTTTAGATATATGAAAGGAAAGGCATTTGAGTAAATTACACACTTATGTGTGTGTGTGAGGGGAAAATGGGGGTGGTAGAAAACTTTGGTTTTTGTTTCCATCTATCTCCAGGTTGAACTGTTTTACGTATCCACTTATGATTGTATTATTATGAAAACACGTTCATGAAGAATATAAGTTATTACTTTGTATAGGATCCCGTTTGAACCCTAGAGCCGACCGGAGATCTCTCCATTTGTTGAAAGCCTTCCCGATGTTGACTCTCGTCTTATTCCGACGCCTAGCACTAGACAAAAGTTTTATTTTCTTGTCTTACGTGGAGTTTGCGTTGGGGTTTGGAATGAACTACAAGCCGGTCTCTTTGAATCCATCTTCTACTTTTGTCGAAAGTTGACTAAAGTTTTGTCGCTCGAGTTGTCTTCTCTGATGCGGAAAATGGCGGCGAATACACAAACCTGCCAGACACAGCCAGGTGAGCCCCCATTTGTTTTACTGTCCAGGATTATAGAGGCAATCGCAGTGATCAGAGAAGGGCTCATTCAGCCCATCAGACAATTGTTTAAGCATGTATGCACCTTTAACATGTAGTTAGATAAATTTAAATGTACATTAAGTACCTGAAAAACTTGGTTGAATTCATTTTTCGTTATATTGAATTTGTCCTATTGTTTGTTATTTACATCTTTGTTCTTATTTTTAATAACAAAATAACTATATCATATATATATATATATATATATATATAGTGCAATAAAATTTCTCATATTGTGAAATAAGATTTTGGTCATATCATTTGTGACAGCATGACATTATTTTCTCCTTAAAACTGCAGTGTGCTTTCCCACCATAACAAACATGATTTTTAAAGCATTTCTGAGAATGCTGATTTTCAGAACACAGCTGACTGACTCGAGTGGCGAAAGGGAACATGGTTTGTGTAACTTTAGGATTAGGGATGCACAATATTGGATTTCTGCCGATATTCGATATGCCGATATTTTCAAACTAATTTTGCCCAATGCTGAAGTATTTGTATTTTTTTTTTCCAAGTACAAAAAAAAATATGTATTAATGCTTCTATTGAAGTTCTCAGTCAAGAGCAGTGAGTGATTTCCTCTGTGTTTTGTTGTTTTATTAACCTTAAAAGGATAGATCACAAAAATTTTACTCATCATTTAGAGTCATCATTTACTCTCTCAAGTTGTTTTAAACCCTAATAAATTTCTAAGTTATTTGGAAGAATGTGGCTAACCAAACCGTTGCTACACTCCAGTGACTTTAATAGTATATTTAAGCACAAGAAAGAAATTAAAACACACGCGCGAGAACTGAACTGAAGTAGTTGAAGGAGATCGCAATTCTCGCGCATGCGTCGTGGAAATCTCTTGAAGTCTCGTTTCAGGCCTACAAGGAAGAAAAGGAATAGTCGAATAAAGTTGTTATTTTTGTTTGTTTTTCCCGCAGAAAAAGTATTCTCGTCGCTTGATAAACTTATACTTGAGTCACTGTAGTCACATGGAATATTTGAAGAGCTCAGATGCAAAAGCCTCTAAATGCCATTTGAAATTTTCTTCTAGAATGGTCATTTTTATCAAGCTTGTATATTTAAGTTCAGTAATTTCACTTAAATTGCAATGAAGATTACCTATTAATTGTCATTTAAGTGAAATTACTGAACTTAAATATACAAGCTTCATAAAAATGATCATTTTAGAAGAAAATTTCAAATGGCACTTAGAGGCTTTTGCATTTGAACTCTTCATTTAAACATTTTCTTCATTGACTTTCTGGGCTATCAACTTTCATTCCCTTCGGCAGCCAATGTGGCAGTGATCCAGCTCTCAAATTTAATCAAAAATATCTTCATTTGTGTTCCGAAGACGAACAAAGGTCTTACGGGGTTGGTACAGCACGGGGGTGAGTAATTAATGACTTAATTTTAATTTTTGGGTGAACTATCCCTTTAACATGCGCCCGGTCACAAGCATAGCAGTTCATCTACATTACTCACCGATCAAATAAGACTTTAGCGGTACAAAAATTCGCTTTGGACGCCATGCTATGGTACTTGATAAAGGACAAAAGGGACATTTGTGAGTTCACGGTCTGTAGCCTACATACTATGGCTGACTCAGAGCATGAGCATCGATAAGACGACTCATTAACATCGAGGGCATTCAATATCGATGGATCGCAAAACTTAGAACCGGTTTTCAATTCCCATCCCAAGTAAATAATGACAGAATTTTTATTTCTGGGTGCAGTATCTCTTTAAGGACAAGCGGCAGCATATTATCGATACTGTCTCTTTAAGAGCTGCACGCGACGCGTCTAATATAAGCGCATTTGACAAGCAAATTTTCTCTGTTTGCTTTCACTTTGTTTATGTAAACTTTGTGTGTATTTGATAGTATTTGCACAATAAGACTTGAAAAGATAACTTCCAATATGCAGGTGCTGTGACAGGCTTTTAGTTCCTGAGAGCGTCGGGTGTTACAACAGCGCATCAGCACGTGAATGACATTAACTAGCAAGACTTTAATAACATAGATGCAAATAATGAACTTATGTGAATTGCACAAAAGAGTCCCACGAGTGTTACTCTAACCTTGCGTTTACATGTGATGTGAATGTGCGTCGCGTTGTACAGCATGTTGAGATGAAGACGCCAGAATTGAACTGATAGAACACATGAGATACTATGATTTTTCTTGAAAAGCAGATCGTGGAGGAGACATTTTAATCGTCCACGATAAAAAAAAAGTGATTATCGCACACCTCTAGTCAGAAGTTTAAGCTGCTGGCGCTCATGCTGTGTTCACGGTCGTCACGTGCGCATAGGAAACACGCCAGCCTATCGGCAAGGCTCAATGGCAGTAATATTCATATCTGCCGATGCCGATGATGGTCATTTAAAGCTTTTATTGGCCGATAGTGATGTTGTCACAATATCATTGTGCATCCCTAATTAGCATCACATTATTAACTGTTTGATAACGTATTCAAGCCAAAGGACAATGTGTCCGACATTGCAGAGAGTGATACAAAAAAACGCATTAGCATTCGATGGAACTCAACATACATCGACTAGTTAGTAGACGAGCCTTTTTTTGAATCAGTTTCTGGTTCAAACATATATGACTGAATAAAACCAATATTTCCATTTGCCATTGCGTAGCATTTACCACAGTTGAGTTTATTTAATTTGTATCTTTGTATTCCTCCATTTTTTTTCTTTTTCTTTTTTAATAACTAAAATAAAATAAAAAATAGCTACATCATGATATAAATATTATCCACCCCTAGACTAAATGATTGGAGAGGTATAGCACCCTCTTGAGCACTGAAGTTTATTACCACCAGAGCAACGCAAGAACATTGCAAATGTCTCAGCCAATTACACATGTCTGCATTTGCAGGACTCACCTGTCCCTGCAGTCTCCCAGAAGAACCGGCGGCAAGGGAAGAGGTGGAAGTGTCGATGTCTTCATCATGTGGGCGGGACTTTGTGTAGATTTCTGTGTGGGGCTTTTGGAGCGAGAAGAAACCGGCGTCACAGTCGCTGAGGGAGGAGGAGCTGGCGGAGGGCTGTTTAGAGGAAGAGGAGGAGGGGATGAGAGAGGAAGAGGAGGAGGAGAGTGCGCCGGGAGAGGAGGAGGAGACGAGAGAGGTAGCGGAGGAGGACTGGATAACGGGAGAGGGGGTGGAGGAACCACAGCGGGCTCCTCCGCAGTAACAATGTCTGGAGGTGGGGAGGGCGGTCTCTGAGGCTCAGGGGGCGGGGCCGTCTCTAGTGGCGGCTCAGTGATTTTCACCGGTGTATTTGCCACATTGGACGTGTTCAGGCGGAGCGAGGGCGAGTTCTTGGCGGCGGCCGCCTGACGCTCTTTCTTTTTTCGCGTCAGCTCGGCTCCAAGGCTGGACGTGATCGGCAAATGTGAAGACGAAGGGGAGCGGTTGCCTGGGTGAGCGCTGTGGGAGGAGCCTCCGCCGGATCCTCCAGAATATAAAGAATGTTTCTTAGTGCGAGAACGGGAAGAGGAGCGGCGAGAGGAGTAGTGAGGAGAACGGCTCCGGGAACGCAGAGAAGGCCTAGGGAGGAGAAACAAGAGAAATGTTTTAAAATCAACTTCACGAGGACAGGTGATAAATGCAGACTTTGTCCAAATATCTTTAAATTAATCTCTTTTAAAGCATGACACTCAACCAGTCTAATTACACAGGGTTAAGAAAGACACAACAACAGAAATATTTTGACGTACAACCAAAGTGTAATGGATAGGAAACACTGGAAAGAGAGAAAACAGACGTTTAACAAAACGGACGTTTAATTTGCGCTTCTCCGAAGAAATTCTTCGATTTGGATGGTTCAGTGTCTATTTCATGCACACAACATGGATAAGCTACAACAGTTAAACAGGTCACCTTTGTGGACACGAGCTCTAGACTGCCAATATTAGTTTCTCGATTTTTATAACTAACTAACTCTATCTCGATTTCTCTACTAACTCTAATGGCAAACTGTGAACGTTTTAATTCTGTATTAGAAAAATACTATTTGAATCATTTAAGTGTATCTAAACGAGCTAGAGCTGTTAATGTGTCAGCAATCAAATGTAAATTAAAAACACCTTTCTCTTATTTAGACATATATATATATATATATATTCCACAATGACACAGAACCTGACAGAGCAGTTATTTACTTGATAGAAAATGGTGGTAAATAAGTAAATTAAAGCCTGCAAGGGAAATTCCAGCTAAATAGACCTGTAATACAGGAATTATGGCATGCCGATATTAGAGTGAGATCAAAAGCATTTTTCATAAACTATGCAACTTTAAAAGCTGACAGTACAATGCACAAGAGTTTCATATGAAGACGTTCTTTCAAAAAAATAAATAATAGTTAGGACTATCTAACTAATATCACAGTAATAACATTACCTGCTGCAATAAATTCACAAACTAAGTGAAATGTGCTGATAACTTGTCAATATTGCAGTTTAAATGGATGTTTTGTGACAGTGTCTTTTAATAATGCGCTCATTTTAATGTGATTGGGTCTACACTAAGATTGTTTTAATTGTGCTTTATAAATAAACATTGATAGTTCACCTAAAAATTTAAATTGTGTCATTTCTCACCCTCATGTTGTTCCAAAGCTGTGTGAGTTTATTTCTTCTGTCGAATACAAAATAAATTTTGAGGAATGCTGGTAACCAGACAGTTGATGGCAGCCATTGACATCCATTTAGTACGAAACGAAATACTATGGAAGTCAATGGCTGCCATCAACTGACTGGTTCCCAACATTCCTCAAAATATCATACAGGTTTGGAACAACATGAGGGAAAGTAAATGATGACAGAATTTTAGTTTATGGGTTAACCATCTATCTATGAATAGAATACTTAGTATGCTAATAATCGGGTGGTGAGATTTGTACACAAGTAAAATACATTTCTTTAAAGATAAACAAAAAACAAACAAAAAAAATTGTGGCAATCTTTCAGCAAAATTTATACAGTCTAATGAATTTCACATAACTTACCTGTCAACCTGATAGTTTAAACACAGTATGATGTGAATAATAGTAGGGCTGTCAAACGATTAATCACGATTAATCGCATCCAAAATAAAAGTTTGTGTTTACCTAATATATGGGGGTGCACTGTGTATAATTATTTTTTCTATATAAATACTCACACATGCTTGTATATATTTAAGAAAAATTTCATGTGTATACATTATGTAGTTTTACATATAATTTGTCATATATATAAATATTTTATATATAAATAATATTTTCTTCTTAAATATACAAGCATGTGTGTGTATTTATATATATATATATAAAAATAATAATTATACACAGTGCACCCACATATATTATGTAAACACAGACTTTTATTTTGGATTAATCGTTTGACAGCCCTAAGTCACATTTGCTTTTGAAGCTTTTGCAATGACATTCATTACATCTGGACAGATTCATACATACTAGCATATTTTGACATTTCCAAAAAATTGGAAAAAAAAAAAAAAGGTACAAAAGTTTTCACTGGGGCTGTACCTTTTCAAAATGTAAACTTTTGGCCATTTCATGAGCTAATAATTACATTTTAGGTGTTAATATGTACCTTTTGGATGCTAATATGTACATTTTAAGTGTTAATATGTACATTTTAGGTACTAATATGTTCATTTTAAATGTTAATATGTACATTTTAAGTGCTAATATGTCAATTTCATGAGCTAATATGTCCTTTTTGGGTGGTAATACGTACCACTAAGGTACCAATATGCAGCCTTTGGGTACAAAAGTGTAACTTACCTTTTGAAAAGGTGCAGCCGCAGTGACAGCTTTAGTACCTTTTTTTTCTGAGAGTGTATGGACACACTTTGCTCATGTCAGATGTGTGAATTAAAGGGTGTTTTACTCACCTGGACACTGGACTGGTGCTGGATGAGCGTCGGTTGCCGTAGGGACTTCCAGGTGAGAGTTTTCTGGTTACATACGGACTTCCATCCTTCTCAGCGCTAGAAGACCTCCTCCTTCCATAGGGGCTCTCAGACCGCTGTCTGCTCCGCCTGGGCGGCTCCCTGTACGGGCTCGGGCTCGCGGCCCTGCGCCTGGAGGAATAGCTGTTCTCGTGCTCCGCAGTGGAAGGACTGTCCGCTCCACTTCTTCTGGACTGGCCCTTTCCTTTAGGGCTCGACTTGTGGCTCTTGGCGGCTTTCCGATGACTGCGGTCCTCCTCATACTCCTCGCTCCTCCGCTTGTCTTTCCGAGGCTTTGATGAGCGGACACTTTCCTTGCTGATGGAGGAGGACGCAGAGGAGGCGCTGCTCCCGAGACTGACCGCGGACTGCACCGCACCTGATGAGACCGAGTCACCGGCCCTCTTAGCAGCGGACTCACCGGAGCGTCTGGAGGTAGACGCAAGGCACGCGACTGGGCTTGACTTCTCCTTGACCTTTTTCCGGCTCTCTTTGCTCACTCGCTCCCGGTCCTTGCTGCTTTTCTTTCCGCTTTCAGTCCTCTCTGCAGAATCCCTGGCCTTATTCGGGTCTTTGGACTTCTTGCGGGAGCGCTTGCGTTTGTGAGCCCTGTTCTCTTTGGTAACCCCCGCCTCGCCGTAGTCCGGCAGCTCTAGGCGTTCGGCGTCTCCGCTCCTCGCCGGTTTCCCGGTGGCGGGGGAGTCCAGGAACGTGTCCGAGTCGGAGCTGATGTCGTCGTACTCCACCAGAGGCTTGATGGCGCCCACTGCTGGCGGCGCGGCGGTAGCGCACACGGAGCCGGTTTCGGCCTCGTGTTTGGACTTGTTTCGCTTGTGCTTGGAAGAAGTGGACGAGCTCGTCGTTTTGGTGGGATGCCGACCGGGGCCCGCGTGCAAAGGCTGACCGTCCTCGGCGGCCGCCTGCAGCTGCTGATGATACAGCGATTCAGCCTTCCTCTTGGTCCCATGCAGGCGGTCTGATCCAGGCATACCTCTGTCCTCCGGAGACGCGGAACTATGTGGTCAAGACAGCACATGAACAGCAGAAATCGCTCAGTATTGGGTAAAAGTGTGAAATCTCGCCAGACGAAAGAGTCGGATCGAAGCAAAACAAAGATGCGCACGCGATTTAATGCGCATAGGTTATCCACAACTCATCCCCGGTCCCGTGGCGTCTTTGAACAGCGTCCAGATATATCCAATCCGAGAGTACAAATTCAACAATAACAACAAAAAATGCTTTTTAAACGATGCGTCTTTCACGATGCCATCACTGGTCGTTTGTTTCCAGGGCGCCTCAAGCAGCGCATTGCGCTCGCGCCTCTCGGCTAGCTTTAGCTAAGCTAGCGTCCCTCGAAAAGACAAAAAGAAAGAAGAAAAATACAGGATGTCCTTGTTTTAGATTGTTTATCCTTGTTCGATATCAAAGCCTAAACAGATGTTTAGCTCTCCTTGCACACGGTTTCTGAGCTTTGAACCAGTAAAGCTCGCTCTGTAGGGATATTGTCCCACATAACTGAAAATAAAACTTGACCCGCTTGCTTCTTGTTCACATATTCGCTTTAATGTTCAGTGTAAACTCTCTGTAGTTTCATATTCATCGCAAATGATCACATATTTATGTGTTAAAATTGATTCCAGTTCACTTAAGCGGCTCTGGAAAGAGACCAGACCTAGAAATTGGGCGATGTTCGTGGATATAAAACCCTCCACGGCCCTTAATTCAGAGAGAATTCACTTCATCCATTACAGCCAAAATTATGCGCTGCCTCTTCTGCGCATGCGCGGTATAAGCCCATCCCACGGAAAAGGAAATACCAAAGGCTACACTATTTAGAATAGAATGTATTGTTTATTGCGTCCTTAATAACGCACTTTCGCATAAATTGATGATTTCATGGGTAAATACATAGGGTAAATATTGAAAACTTGGCTGGAAGTTTATTAACCTATAAAATCACCCGTTTAACGTGCTTCTGTAGAACAAGATCGCTGTCAATCTTCATGGTAACTGGGCGACAGCCAATGAAAAGAGGCAACTGTACCCCGCCTTCAGTCGCGTTTCGCTTGAGCTGGACAAGCTCACCGTTTGATTCCTTAGTCAAATGTGTGTTATATAAATAATTTTATTCAATTTATTATGTAATAACAATTTGATTTAATACGTTTAATATTTAAGACAAAATAATTACCGACAATATTATGTTATTGTAGCACGTGTAAAGTTACAGACTCTCCCTTCGTAAACAAGCATATTAATCATAATTTTCTAACAAACCTGTTAAAAAATCCAAATCAACCTAAGCAAGAGGCCTTTTAATGTTTATGCCAATTATACCTCTCTTAAATAAATATGGATTTTTTTAAAGTATTTGCATTTTTATAATATCACAACAATCGACCGATCATAGGCTACTAAGAACTACGTTATTTACATAATATGGTGTTTAAAAAAATGTACTTTTGCAACAAAGATGGTTATATTAGCCTTGTGTAACAAATTAAATTAAGTGCAGTATGATTTCCCCTTCGTACGCATCCAACGGCGAATGTATGCCGACTTCGTAGTTTCTGTTTTGTAGTTGAATAACAGTTGATCAATTTGCTGTAGTTATCCGTATATTTTCCAAAAAGCAAGGTATTTGTTAACGTCGCGCATAGATGACGTCAGAGTGCGAGTCCACGTCTCCAACAGTGATTATTTTAAAGGCTGTTACATTTATAAAGCAAAATTTGATGTGATAATGATCACTTCATACATTGCTATTACATATAAATAACCTATTTTACATAGGCCTACATATTAGTCTACATATAGGCCTACCTGTAGGCCTACATATTATTTGTAAAGAAGTTTGTGTGTGTGTGTGGTAAACCCTCGGCCTACTACAATATGGGTACAAAATGTCCCTACAAAGATAAATTAATTCCAAAATATATTTGTTCTGTCCTTATTCTCATGGGACATTGTCCCCATTAGGAAAACAGCTTATATATCAATTATGTTTTTTGAAAATGTAAAAAAAAAAAAAAAAAAAAAGATTTCTGTGATGGGTTTAGGGTTATAGGAGATAATATAAAATCTGGAAGCCCAATTTGTGTGTGTGTCAAAGAGTTTTTATTAATAAGGGGCATTCCTTATTAATAAAATATGTAGGCCTATGTAAAATGGTAATTTTCTTAGTTTTGTAAATGATGGCATGAGAAAACTTTATGATTGTTCATTCCAAATTCTTGAACACAGGTGCAATGACTCTTTCTCTAAAAACATGCAGTACCTTGAAATCTTTATTGGCAGCATTTCTTGTTGATTTGGGTTAAAACATATCAGATATTATTGACTTTAGGATGGCTAGTACAAGTAGCCTACTGACCATCAAGAAGTTGTATGCAATCAATATGGGGGGGAAATGACGTTTGTGTCTGAAATAAAATGTAAGAGATGTGCAAGATTTCAGTTTAATAGAACATTTAATTTTACCACCCTTCTGAGTAAAACCACCACAGACGTTCCAATGGTTTCCGCTAAAAATACCATTAAAAAAAATTACGAACCATCAAAGTGTTAACCATTAAAACCATCACCTAATGGTTTCAGTAGCAGTGTTGCCAAGTTTGCAGCTTTCCCACAGAATTGGGCTATTTGTAAACTATTGCTACATGTTGATTTCTCCCCCAGCGGTGGTTTGACATAATTGTAGCCTAATTCTAATTCACTGAAATGCATGTATTGAAATATTATACATTCTACCAATGATACAATTGTGCTATATTATGACTTTTGTGAGAAAGCATTGGAGCTCACAAAACACAGTTTATGATAAGCCTACTACTAGTGATTTTCAAGATTAAATTGTGTATAATGCATAAGAGTCTGTTTTGGGCAATATTCTATTATTTAATTGTTTTAACATGTCACCAGAAAGCAACAAATCAGCAGTAGATACTCACAGGGACCGTTACAGTTCCTGTTAAAAAAACCAATACAATTCCATTGTAATCATTAAAACCATTACCATTTCTACAAGGGTTTCTATTGTTTTGTTTTTAGTAGGAAAAGAAAGTTATTTTCACAGTTTGTTTACAGTTCTGCAAAACTAACTAAATTGTAAAAAGTAAGGAAAGCTAATTATCAATATAATATAATTAATAGTACATATATATTTTATATGTATTTATTTTTCTAAAGCTAATGTGAAAACCGCGGTGCTCAACCATTCGGTTTCATGTTGTTTGGGAAAACGCTGCCTCGTGTTACCATCACGATTACGTCAAATGACGAAGGCCATCTTTGTGTTTTTATTGGCTGAGACCGCTAAAAGAGGAGCTGACGCACCTTACCCGGAAACCAGCAAAACAATAATACGAAAACAAACGATTCACAATCTGTACACTTTCCATACAACATTATGATAAACTATTGCACTTTTCCAAGTTTTTGCACACATTGATCCGCATAAATATTTGTATTTCCTCAGAACGCCAAACAAACGAACTTTCTGAGTAGAACTATACTGATTGAATTAATCTAAAGCTCACATTTTATTTTTAATATAAAATATATAATATTACCAGTTTGGTAATATGACAACTAAAAAAAACGTGTAATTTTATATCATAAAGTAGTTATATTCGACCTTCCATGTCCATAGACGATTACTTGGGGGCTATTACTTTTACTACGGTTACCACACCATTACACGTAGCTTTAAAGTATTAAATATTAATGCAGACGGGCAGTTTATTATGGACAGATACCACTCCAATATTTATGAACAATAAGTTAATAGTAGTTTGCCGATGGGGAAACTGTCACGGTAAAGGGGAGGGGGTGATCCGCAACACAACAGGAGATAAGCTTGATTTGTTCATACTTCAACCACTGGGGCTCTTCTGCATCTTCGCCATATACAAACCCGAAGAAATGAAGTGAAATACGGCATGAGCTCGACGGAACCCAGCGGCACCGACACATCTGCGTCCTTTTAATAACCGGACGCGCTTTTCTTCTCCGGTTTACCGACTTTATAGTGTTCGGGATGGGTAAGGAGGTGAACGGCGTCTCTCGGAGTCGCTTTGAGGCGAGTAGTCACTGTTTATTCCCAGATTGACTTGTCGATGTAAATAATCTTGCGTTTTTATTCCTAAACGCCTGACATAATGTAGGATTAGAAGTGTTGTTGCAGTAGAAGAGGCCGAGCTTCCGCAATCATATGCGAGTTCAGCTCTTCTAATCGCTTGACAGTCTATAAAACACATTCATTAATGTATGTTGACCAAAGGCAGCATCAACTCCATCAATATATCCCTTTCTAAGTGGCTATATATTAGTTTTTCGTGTAAATATGTAGCCTACTTTGTGTCGAATTGTATAAACACAACCGTTGATTAAAGATTAGTGTGGCTCAGAAGGCGCTTTAAAATGTCTCGCTTATTTACGCGAAGCAACAGTAGGTTGCGATGTAGGCTTCGATGGTTTTTATGAATTAAACTGGTTAGCTGAGATTATAGGAGACGGGTAATGCTGGTAGGCCCACAGCAGGCTGGAGTGGGGAAAAACAGCCGGCCAAAAACAAAAGCTGGATATATACACGGGCCTTTACGCGATAAAACACATCGCGTATCACAACTCATCACCCCAGAAAGCAGTTGGGCCGGGTTTCGCAAACATTTCGTTTGTTGTTTCTCTTCAAGTCTCAAGATAAACCGTGTTTAAACAAGTTATAACTGTGTTTACATCTGGTGTGTCTCAAAACTTAGTGAGTTGACTACCTAGACCGCATTTTCGGGACTTAATAGGTTCGTGTTGCAGTTTTGTGCGCCTGTGATGCTGTCTAGATAGGGAGCTCACTAGGTTTTATAACACAGCCGTAATGTTGAGACACATGGTGGTTTTGATGCTGGTTTTATCGGGGGTTTATGTATCTATAGTTGCTTTTAAAGATCAGACTCACACAGACATACACTCTGGGCAGAGTCAGGCACATTGTAGCCAAGTTACTAAAGATTAATTTGTTAAATAATAGCACATTACTCTTCCCTAATAAGATTACCGAAAATTTAAAATGGTATCAAATTTTAACCACAAACACTTAACTATCTATAAACGGTGAACAACCTTAAAATCCACATTACCCAGCCAGGGTGTTACATTACGTCCAAATTTTATTTTTATTCATATATGATAATAAAAGTGGCAATGCATCTCTGTAACATTTACTATTGTCCTATATAGCAAAAGTAATGTGAACGATAAGTTTTCCTTTGTGATGCAATAATTCAAATGCCTAAAATGTCATGCATTCTGGGCTGGCAGCTACTTATAATTTTTTTAAGACACATTACACTTCATTATGAGACATTACAACCATGTCATTTAAGTGGAAACTGTGATAACTTTAGCAAATGATTGTAAAGGTACTAGACCTAATCTCAGTATGTTGCAAAAGCATGAATGTAATCAGTCTTTAGGCAGCGATGCATTGTTGCCAGCTTAAGCCTGTTTCTTTTTTTAGGATCAGAGTGATTATCTGGACATTGTTTTGGAGACAGCAGCATGAGAGTGATCTTTACAAATAATGGACAGCTCATATTATGCTTGGCTCCTTGATTGTTGCGATATTGTCAGAAAACATGGATGTAGCGTCAGCTGGTGGACTGGTTTTGCCTTTACGTACATATTTAGTTGCATTTGGCTATTGTAACGGTAAAAGGAGTGCAGCCATATTACAATTTCATTATTGTACCAGTGGTAACCTGGCTACTCAGTCAGTGTTGACCTAAATGT